ATAGCTGCCAGCAAGGAAAGGTTGCTTGCTTCATGTTGAAGCGTGTTGGCTTGACTGATAGTTAAAGCTCTGGCATCCATAAGCGTAAGGGTGGCCATGGAGATGCGGGAATTGGTAGGTGCGCGACCTGTAGCCGTGCGGGGTTGGGGAAATGCCTGTAGCATGGCATTGCGCGCCTCCCTGTCAAGGATGAGCGCGTGGTCGGAGGCGTGCAAGTCGAAAGTTAAAGCTTCAGGGGGAGGCGAGAAAGTGTCTTCAAAAAGCTGTCTGGCCGTCGGGTCGAGGTATGCTGTAGGATCATGCGGAATACGCATGACCTGGCGTCCCTGGTCCTCGTTTGGTCGAAGCTGTAACTTGAAACGGCATGATAAGCACGGGGCAGCGTGGTCTAGTACTGCGAGTGCTAAAGTAAGAGAGTACTTGGCTTCGCATTCATTGGCAGAGGCGCCTATGGGTATAGCTATGTAGTCCCTGCGCTTCCAGTGCTGCTTGAAGGCGGGGTCACGTGCTGGCGCGATCCATGTGCCCGCTCCCAGAGGGTGTGGCACAAAGGTGGCCGGCAGCCAAAGATTAGATGCAAGTAGGAATCGATGGAAAAAGGAGCCTGCCGCGTTGACTTGCTCCGCGTGTTGGGGGCCAATGGCCGCTGATGTTTGCGTGCCCACTGCAGCATTGGAGTCCATAAGGACAAGAGTAGGAGTGGGCTGCGGTAAAATATGGTCGTGCACGTGTCTAAGGTGCTGCCACCATGCGGCCTGCTCGTGGAGAGGACGCCCGGAATGATGAGCGTGTGCCACGAGGATGCTGGAGCGTAGGCCATACTGACTGGTGACGGCCGCGATAATGCCCGGGTCTTTGTGTACAATACGCACATTGTGAGACTTAATAGGGAAAGTGGGAATGCCTTTGGCATTGGGAAAAACGGGCGTGGTAAGGTTGACCCATAGCGCGCAGCCGCAAGCATGAGTTCCAGCTTGAGACTCTGACAAAAAGACTACGTACGGGGGGACCTGGCGTTTGCCAGAGCCCGCGGCTGTGACTCGCGTCTCTTGCGTACCGATAACGTCGAGCCCATTGCGTTGAAAGGCAGCGGCCAACTGGTGGAGGCGCCCTTTGACGGCCACGCCTGTAAGCCTGGCTCTTTGGGAGATGCGCGAAGCAGGCGTGAGAGAGAGAATGTTGGCTGAGGCTAGCCTGAGACAGCAGGATGCCGTGGCGTTTGCGATCGGGGCTGCCTCTTTGGAGAGACCTGGAAAAACATCAGCAAGCGAGGTGCGTGGGGGGAGAGGAGGATTAAGACTAACTTGATGGTTCGGCGGGTAAAGCGCTCGCTGTTGCTGAGGAAGGCACTCAAGCCAAAGCCATTCCAACATGTGCGCATTGTCTTGGAGAAAGCTCATGAGGGGCGGGAGCACTGGAGGAGGTAGCAGTGCGAGGGAGTACAGTCTGGCGACCGTGTCAACCATTTCGTTGAGCGGGTCTGCTTGGTGACCGTGCACGTGCTGCCATGTAAAGCGACGTTTCAGGCCAAGTACCTTGCACAGACTGTCGAGGCGGCTTCTATGTTCCATTAGTGGCTCGGCCACGGTACCGCCTTGGGCGGTGGCCACTACGTCCACGTTGTCTGAGTGAAAGGTGAGAGGAACGGCGGGAGGAAAGGGGGACTGTAAGGCCCATAACGCCGCCCAGGTGGCGGCATCGAATTCCGCTTTAGCGGAGACTCTAGTTGCCCCCATTATCTTCGGGGTGGGACACCCGAGGAAGCCTAGAAAGTGTCGAGTGCCGTTAATCCATGCAAAGACCAGAAAAGCCCACGCTGGCGGGCCAGCGAGATCTCCTTTGGAGGCCCCTCCGCTGGCGTCAGTATATATATCCGCGGAGTCAAAAGCCGCGTAGGGAGTATCGAAGACAAAACTGTGCCAGGTGGGGATGGAGGAGGAGTGGAGGGCTGGAAAAATGACATCGAAGTCCCTGACCAACTGTATGGAGGTAGCCGTAAGCACCGGTAGCATCCACCCCATGGGCGGAAGCGGGCTGCGGCGTATACTATGCCGCCCCCCCAGGTTCACCCGTGGGCAGTGTCCGGGGGAGCGACCTGAAAAACCGTGCCGTCGCGCGCTGCCTGGGCTAAATCGTCCTGAGCAGCTTGTGCCGCGTGGGCCTCAGCTTCAGCGCGAAGGTCCGCAGCCTCTGCTTCTGCCATTGCATCTGCAGGGCTGCGTGGGGTAGCCATGGCGGGTGCCCCTGCACGTGACGTTGACTCAGCCTCGGCTGTCGCAGGCCTGGGGCGACGTGAGCCACGAGGGCTCTTGCTGCGTGCTGCCTGCTTACCTACAAAATCTTCCTCGCTGATGCCTGAAAGCGCGCGCTCTTCGGCCTGTCCCGCGCGTGCGGATCTGCCCCTGGCCTGAGCGCTTGCGCTGCGGCGGGAGGATGCCATGGTGACTGGCTCCCCTTTTCCATCGGAGAGGTCCCACCCAAGCTGGCTGGCAGAACGGGTAGGCGGGGGCATATCGCTGGGTTCCTTTAGGGAAGCTGTTGCCGGGTTTTGATGGTTGATAGCAACCTCCCGAACCGAGCTATCTTGAAACGTGGGCGCAGTGGTGATCACCTCCCCTGTCGGCGTCTCGGGCACTGGCGCTGGCCCGGGTTTGGGCGCGAAACCTAGGCGGAATAGCGGGCCTGCTTTGGGGGAAGCGCGGGCCTGTTCACATCCTGACGGCGCTGTGGCCCCCCCCCGGACCGTAGCGCCGTGGCTAGAAACGGCGGCTGGCACTAGTTGCCCGGCCTTGATCTGTGAGACTAGGGTGTCTACTGAGTTGCGCATGGCTTGGGCCTGGGAGTCAAAACTTGCCTTGATGGTGGCAACCTCCCTGGCCATGGCCTCGGCGTTACTCTGCATGGCCGCGGAGAGTGATGTGATGTAAGGCTGTTCCAACCCTTGGATGCCTGGGGGGGGCGCAGGGCAGTGGAGGAGCGGGGGAGAGGACGGCGCAGCAGTGAGGGGCGTGGCCGTTCCCAGGTCAGGTGGGTCGGCTCGCTCCTCACCTGTATGCGTTGCGGAGAGTGCCGCAGTGCGCTGTGCTGCACCTGGCTCATCCGCCGCGTCCCCCATCATGAGCGAGTCAGTGATGGCGGCGGCTGGCGGTGCTTGCGACTTGAAATAAGCTAGTAACATAGAAGCCTGGCTGAGGTCCGCTTGTGCGGTCTGAAGGGCCAGGGCGATGTTGCGCACGTGCTCCTCCGCCTGCGCTTGTTTGGCTGCCAATTGCTCGCAATCAGCATGCAGGGGGGCCACCACGTGCTCTTGCTCACTAATCTTGGCCAGCGGATCCCTCGCGTTGGCCAATTGAAAGTTAACTAGTGAAATCTCCTTTCGGATCTCGGTGATACGCATATCGGAGTGTCCTAGGAGAGTTGAGGCCCTAAGCTGCAGGATTAGTGCCTCCTTGCTCATTGCAAGGGCCTTGCGGTGCTCCAGCAGGCGGTCGGGCTCGAGCGGGGGGTAAAGCCAGGCTGAGTGAGAGTGCGCCTCGTCTGGGGTAAGGGTAGGGCATTGCGCTGTGAGCTCCGCCACCGAGAGCTCAGTGGCAGGATCCAGCGCGCCGAGCGAGGAGGAGGCCTGTTCGGCCGCAAGGAAAGGAGACTGCCGTACAGAGGTTGGGCCGAAGAGTGTAGGGGGAGTGGCCGCACCGTCGTGAGGAGGCGCAAAAGGGGAAGGCTGTGTCTGGGGAGACTGTCCTATGATGCCTGTGTCCCTAGCACCGTGTGGGGTGCCAGGAGCCTTCGAGGCAGGCTGCTCCCCTTCTCTGCGCTGGTACTCGCGAGCTCTACGAGCTTCGTCCTTATCGCGCTTCTTGCGCTCTTTGCTGGAGATCCCTACCGCTTGGACCGCATGGTCTCCTGGGGGTGCGGGGAGCAGGCCGTACTCCGCTGCCCATGCAGCCACCTGATCGAAAGATGGCGCCTCTGTCGGTGCCTGGCCCTTGCCCAAGTGCACCCCTCCCGTGCTTCCGGAAAAGGAGCGAGGGCCCTTGTGGCCCGGCCCCGCGCCCCCATCTTGCAGGGGCCTGTGCTGCCCCTGACCTTTGGCTGGGCCGGCCGTCGCATGCTGATGACCTGCTGCCCGAGTCGGAAAACAGTTGGGACATGAGACGTCCATAGTGGTGTTGGCCCGGCCACATTGCAGGCAATACCAGAACTCGGGAGGGGCGCTGCCTTTCTGGTGCACTGGCTGCTGGGGTGGAGGAAAAAAGTCCATGGGAAGGCGCGTGGCATAAAGAGACGGTGAGGGAGGAGCAGCCAAACGCTGGGTGGGAGAAGTAGCCATACCGTGCTGCTGCAGCCCAGATGTTGGCGAGAGAGGCGGCGCGTGAGGAGGGGGTAAGGTTGTAGGAACAGCGCCTTGCTGGGGGATACCCTGGAAGGAGTGGTGCTGCGAAAGCATCATCGCAGCTTTGTGCACCCTTAAAAGCGTGCGGGCGTTAGCGCGCTGCTTGCGCGCTCTGCGATGGGGAGCGGGCTCGTCGCGAGGCCGCTGGGGATAGGAAGGAGGAGAGTAGGCAGGCGTCGCGCCTGGCAGATGGCGGCCCGTGAGGGCGTCGCGGCGGGGATCGGCGCGGAACCGGTTGTGCAACCGCTCGAGCCAAACCTGAGGGAGGGAGGAGTGAGGTGGGAGGGAAGGGGGAGGGGGGAGGGAAGGGGGAGGAGGGGGGGGGAGGGGGGGGGGGAGGGAAGGAGGGGGGGAGGGAGGAGGGAGGGAGGGAGGGAGGAGTGAGGTGGGAGGACGGACGGTCGTGAGGAGCGAGGAAAAGGATGCTCGGGGTATTTTTCTTTGTGGGGGGGGGGGGGATGTGCCGTGCCGGGAAGCGGGGGGGGCGAGGGAGGCGAGGGGGGGGGATGGATGGAGGGGAGGGGGGGGGCGAGGGAGGCGAGGGGGGGGGAGGGAGGGAGGGGCGCGGGGGCGAGGGGGGGAGGAGGGGGGGGGGAGGGAGGGGGAGGACGGCCTCCTCGACGAGAGCTTCGTCGCTGGCCCGGCCGATGCCGCCACGGATGAGCTGCCGCGGGTCGAGGCGGCCCGTCGGGGGGTGAGGGGGGGGGGGGGGGGGGGAGGTAAAGCGACGCGAAGATCGGGACACAATCGGATCGGGATAACTCGAAACCTCTGAGGATCGGCGGGTTTGGAGGATGTATTGGGCGCCGCGGCCGCTCCAGAGCGTTCCGGAACGCTCTGCGAGCGCTCCGGAACGCTCTGGAGCGATTTATCCCGATCCTAGCCCTGTTTTAGGGGGCTGGGGCGGGGAGGAGCTCCGGCAATTGGGTGCAACCGCGGCGACCGATGGGAAGCCTGACGACGCGCGAAGTGAGCATCATCGTTCTACCGAGCGCGCTTCGCGCGAGTTCAAGCGCCTGCTCACTCGGAGCGGCCGCTTCAGTCTTTTGTGTACGAATGAGAGAGCGGCATAAGCAGAAACTTCTGTACGAACTTGCGGATTTCTTGGATCGACGCTGGACTCCAATCCCTGGCGCACGGAGCTCGCCAGGAGGGGCCCAGCGCAGATCCAGGAACTCCGCGCGGACTGAAATTCTTTCAATCTCTTCTGGCGCGTGATAGTTGTACCCTGCCCCCTCCCCCCCCTACACCGCTGGGTAACGGCAACGATCCTATGAGGGGGGGTGCCTGGACCCCCCCGACATGCGGGTGCTCGCGCGCATACGTTGGCGATCGCAGCACCCCCCCGTCCCGACGTGCCCCACCCTGCCCAAGCGTTAGCGGTACGTGCCCCCCCCCCCCCCCCCTGGGGCAACGACCGTGATTTGGACAATATCACACGTTTTCCCCCGACAGTTTCTGTTCATGCCGCTTTCTCTTCATCTCTCAGCGGTATCGTTGTCATAGTTTGGGGGGCCGCATGCGAAGCCTGCCCGTGCCCCCCACGATTTCTGGGGGGGAGGGTGGGGTTCCCTTCGCTCGGGAGCCCCCGAGCGACGTGAACCCCCCCCTCCCCCTCAGAAATCGGGGGGCAGGGGCAGGGTTGGCACGTGGCCCCCTAGTAGTGCTCAGGGCTTCGGAGGCTTGGTCTGGAGGCGAGCGGCCCCCCGGGGGGGAATGCCCTGGTGCCACCTCCAGCCCGAAGCTGTGCCCGCCCTCCGTCCCGCTGCCATTCAAGAATAGGCCAAAATGATTAACAAATATTCGCAAAATAGTCCCCACACTATTTTTTGATTTTTTTGAGTATTCCCAATTTGGGCTATGTTTGACTATTTTTGTATTATTTTTTTGGATTATTTTTGATTATCCTTTGACAATTTTTGAATCTCCCCCCTGTAGAGGGACAGGCCCGACTCAACGCTGCCAGCTTCCAGCGGTCTTCGGGCAGGAGGAAGATGCTCCCTGCGGAGCCCAGGTCGGAGCGTCTCCTCGTCGCGCCCTGGATTCCGCGGCGCGCCAAGGGGAAGGCAGAGGGACATCGCCGTCAAGGCCTCTGACCCCCCAGCAAGTTTCCCTAGCTTCCAGCGAAACCACTAGTTTTTTTCTAGAGGGACGGGCTCTTCAGAAGCCCCGCCGCCTTCGCAGAAGGCCTGCCGTCTCTCACTTCTTGGACGCGCCTTGTTATGTGGTTACCTGGCTTGAACTGCCTGGCCTCCCCGTCTGTTGACATGTCGGGGAGACTTAAGGACTCGAGTGCGCAGGAGCTTGGGTTTACCGACGCTTTTTTCACGAGCTCGTCCTGGATTCTGACGGTTCAGTTTTCGTGGGATTTTTGCAGCGGAAATTCGCGTCACATTTCAGACCAGGTCTCGTCATTTTCATGATGGCCCCAACAGGCCAATCTGCGTACCCCGGACCCCAGTGTTACGTTTCCCCGAACATGGCTGACGCACTGGCTTCCAATTCTTTGTGCGAGTGCATCGCGAGGCGTCCTTGTTCGCTGGGCTGATCGCGCATAGCAATCTGGCTGTGTTGTAGCAGCTCATGCACAGGCCTCTCATTTGTAGTCGGTGGTGTTGTTCGGACCGACGGGCTGACAGGAACCTGGGTAACACACCCAACTCTGGTGATTCGGTCGGGGGGCTGCCCAGCGCGTGAATCACGGCGCCTTGTTTCACGTCGCGAAGAATGGTGTGACATTTCCAGGAGGGATGGTGCTACCATATCGGGAGATGGAGGACAATTTCGTCAACTGCGCGTCTCCCTGAGTAGGCGCCCGACGCACGCAGTTTCTCTGCGAGGCCACGGCCTCGCCGCCTTACCCCTCAAGGGGCCCGGGCGCTGCCCGCACAAGCGGTCCGATCTGATCACGATCGTCAGTCGGGGGGGAGACAGAGCCGCCGTTGGGAGTCCGTCTGCTCATTACTTCTTCTTTTTTGTCCGAGGGCATGGTGCTTGCCTTCAGCCGTAACGCAGTAATGGATCCCCCACCCCGCGGCAGCGTGTCTTTGATGTTCCCCCCTCAATCCAAAACGACGAGATGTTCGTTTTCAGCGCGCGGCCTCACAGGGCTCAAATTCCGGCCCAAAGGCTAAGTTTTCGCGCTGGGCTCCGTTTTGCTGACCCTAGTGCCCGACAATGGGCCCGGGACGTCGAAATGCAGGAAGCACGCCTGGATCGAACAAGCCTTCTCTTCGGATGTGTGGGATTAACACGCACCCCCCTTGTCCCGCTCGTCCCCCTTCGCTTCGTCTTGCTCCCTCTCGTTTTCACGGGCCTCCTCTGTCGGGTCGGATTGGAGGGAGGGGGTTCGGGACGCGGGGTGTACGAAGTCTTCTGCGTGCAGCCGTTTCGGTCCCGCCCGTCGGTCGTGTTCCTCGACGTTTAGGCGCTCGAGGTGCCGGGGAGACCAGCTGCAACCCCCCGCCCTCCTTGTTCATTCCCTTTTCTGTCCCACCCGACTTGGGGGGGAAGGGCAGTGAGTAGTGGTGTGGCCGAGAGTTGCTTGCTATCACCAACACAGGCGGCCCGGATTAGTAGGTCGGCCCTGCCAGATCAAGGGTACCTTCGTGTCCTGTGTCTCGCGACCCATGTTTCCTGCATTCCTGTGGCAACGTGGCCCTCGGAAGGGTCTCGTGCCCTCTCGCGTGTCCCGTCCAGTGGAGTCCGACTGTAGAGGGTCCTGGCAGCGGTCCGCTGGTCTTTCTGGTCCTCCCGTTCCGCACTCCTCGTCCCTCCTGCACGCGGAGCGCGTCCAGGGCGGCGCCAGAACACCGCCAGGGGGGCCCCAGCGCCGATCCACAAGAAATTCCGCCCGGGCCTCCGACAACTCCTGCTCGTGCAGGTCCTTTTTTTTCCCCTTGGAGAATGCAGTTGGACCTGTCCCTCTACAGGGGGAAGAGCCAAAAATAGTCCAACCATATTCTGGGGACTATTGTTTGAGCATGTGTAGGCCATTTTGGATTACTTTTGACTTTTTTTTTATTATTATTATTATTTTTCGTCGCAATCCCCCTGTAGGGGGACACGCCTGACTTAACCCTTGGAGAAGTCCTGCAGCAGGGGAACTGAGCGACATGCTTTTTGTGGCAAGCTTCGCCGACGACTGCAGGTAGGCGAAGCCCTTCAAGAGGCCGCGGAAGGTGCGGCGCCACACGCACGGATGCGAGCCAATATTTAATTCTCTCATATGTAGCGTCGGACCGAGGTGTAAGATCGAAGTCGGTTCGGGGAGGGTGCCCTAGTGCTCTTCGGGTCTGTTGGACGCTCTTGTGCATACTGGGGAGGGTGCCCTTGGATGTTCTGTGCGCTTTGGCCGACGGAGGGTCTCGTGCTCTCGAGGGATGTTCTTCTGGCCTGGGTCCGACTGCAATTCATGCTTATGCAGCTGTGTCATCCTCTGTCGCCGCCTCCTCCGATGCTCGCCTCCTTGGCCCCCGCCTGCGGCCCCGGCGCAGTCTTCGGCCCGGCTCCCGCTCGGCGGGGCACCCGTCGGCGCCGCAGCCGCCGCCGCCGACGTCGCCGCCGCCGTCCTCGCCATGGACCATTCTTTGTCGCCATCATCATCATCATCATCATCATCATCATCATCATCATCATCATCATCATCATCATCATCATCATCATCATCATCATCATCATCAGCATCGTCGTCGTCGTCGTCGTCGTCGTCGTCGTCATTCTCCTTGTCGGCGTCCCACTTGAGAGCATGAGACGGCGCCTCGCCTCGTCAGGAGCCCACTGGGAAGGGTTTTGAGGCGCTGAACCGCCCAGGCCGTGGGCTTCCGCCGAGGTCGGGAATGGATTTGTTCATGGCGATTCTGGTAGAGTGGCCAGGCTAACGCTTGAATGCCCCGATTTTGCTATAGTGCCATAGCGCTCGTCGGCCTTTTCCTCCTCCTCCTCCTTCTCCTCCTCCTTCTCTCCGTAGCCATTTTGGCTCAAGTTGACACCATCGCCCCGTGGCTTCAGCCTGGTCGCAGCCAAGGGGCCTGCCCGTGCTGCCGTGGCGGAGTGGGGGAGTCCAGAGCCTGTCTGAGGGGCTCACTGCCCGACCGCTCCCAGGCTCCGCGTCATTCTGTCTGCGGAAGCCCTTGCAAGAGTCACTCCAGTCATGCCTACTGCGCGTGGTGAGAGCCCGCCTGGAGGCAGGTGGAGATGCGATCTCAGAGGCATGTCCTACGTTACAGTCGTGAGCGTGTCCGAGGCGGAAATTTGTACATGTCCACCGCCTGGAGGGTCAGTTTTCGGAGCCTCGGCAGGCGGTGGATATGGACAGATTCGGGCCCCCGGGGGCCGAAATATACAAATATCCGCCGCCCGCTGGGGCACCAGGACGTCGGTTACCAGGCGGTGGATATGGATAAATCCCCACCTCGCAAGGTGGTCGTCGCTCCACGTCTTCCTTTCGCTCCGCCTCGCGTGCGCGCTCTGACCCACGGTCTCGTTGTAGTCGCAGCGAGGAGGGGAAAGAATCCGAGCAGCCTGCCTGGGTTACCGCCCTCTTCAGGAATATTGTTAATCAGGCGAGCGACATCAACGCGCCCGAACGCTCCATGAGCGACAAGGAACGGTCCGTCCAGGCGGACTTCGCCAAGCCGCAGGGGCATATCACTTCGCTGAACATCAAGATGGAGCAGTCCGCCCAGGCGCAGGCTGCAGAAGTTGCCCAGGTTGTCGAGTTTTCGTTGAAAGAGTCTTTGCAGGTCAAGTTCGCCGAGGTGAAGAGTAAGCTAGCGGATCTCTCTGCTGTCCAGACTGCGGCTTCCCAAGCAGTCCCCTCTTCGCGCTCGCCACGTACACCCGCATCTACGGCATCATGTTCTAACGGCAGCAGACTTGGGGACGACAAACACCATGGAGATCGGAGGAAGATTTGGGTTGGTGGATTTCCTAGACAACTCCTCAAGAGGGTCCTCGACCCTTGCGCTACCAGCATCAAGTCCCACTTCCCCAGCAAGTGCAGGGTGGAGTTATTGTTCAAAGTACCAACCCCTCGAAGAGTTGGGCCTTCATTTGTTGTTCCGATACCGAGGCCAAATGCTTCTACAACACCGCCAAGCAAACGGGACTTGTCTGGTTCGACCGTAAGGATCAGAAGCAAGTTGCTCTTCGTGCTAGGTTTGATGCTCCCACGGCGGTGCGTGCGAAACACAGAGTACTCGGCCAGCTCTGGCAGATGTGCAAGGACCAATGGCGCCAGTGCGAGATCGATGCTCGGAATTGGCAGCTGGGATGCAACGGTTTTCGTGGTTTCTGATTCTTGTTTGTGGATGATGAGGTTTGCCAGCTTTGTTTCCCCGAAGACCCACGACCGCTACCGGTGGGCAGTCGAGCCAAAAATCTGCTGCCGAGGAGTGGCATGTCGGCAGGGCGGCCAGCTGCGCGCATGCCTGCGCATCTTTCTAGCGAACAGAGGAGCATGTGCTCGGATGTTGACAGTTCCTCTTCTTTCTCCCCTTCCTCATCTTCCAACAGTTCTTCTAGCTCAGGGGGTCCTGAACCTGAGTGGAGTGACAGTCCGTGTGAGTTTCGTGGCAGGTTTCCTTTGGCTGCCTAGAGTGCGCGTTCGCTCTTCGGGACGTCCTGATCTACCCTCTTTGCGCCGAAAGCTATGCGTGATGTCCTGCCCTGACTTGTACTGAAAGGCAGTGTGGTTTGCGTTCGAGAGTCGCGTGGCTTTGACTACGACCTGGGTCTGAAAGGAGTGGATACCTTTTTGCCTCTTTCCTATTCTCCTGCAGGCGGCTGCGCTATTTTTGTTAGCCCCGCGCTTGGGCGAGACTTTGTTCCCGAACAGCATGCGATTATTTCTCAAGGGAGAATCCACGCGACCACTCTGAGGGGCAAGCGTGGCGCGCTCGTCATTGTGAATGCGCGCGTGGGCCCTGGCCTTAGCGTTGTTCATCAGAAACAACTCTCAACGCAGATTCGCCGTTTCACCCCGCCGGCTGCCAGGGCTGTTGCCATGTTCGCTGGCGGCCGGAGTTTCCCTGCCCTGGGAGAGGGGGGCCTCCAGATGCCTGGGGGAACGGCGCGCCCCCCTGGGGAACCTCGGGGCCGATTCCCCCAGGGTGTTCTCTGACTTCGCCGAAATCGAGCAGCCGCTGGCTCCCCGCAGAGTCGCGCGAGGTGGCCGCGTCGTTTCGGCAGGCCGTCTGGACGGGGTCTATACGAGCGCGCGCTCCGCCGAGCTCCTCGACAGTTCCCCCGGCAGCATCCTCCCTCTGTGGGGGCCCCTTCGACTGGAGGCGCGAAGCAGCCCTCGGACCGCGTGCCTGTTTGCGGCGTGTTACGCACCGCTGGGCCTCCGCGTTCCCCCGACGTCCCTTCCTGGCTTTCGGGTCGCCCTGGGCGTCCCGAGATGTTCCGAGGACTTCTTGAACGACGCGCGCCCTTCCACGAGGACTCATGGGGGGCCCCCGCGGAGCTCGAGGATCTCATCCACGCCTCTGCGAAGGCGCTGAAGTATCGACTGGGGGTCAGACGAGTACCCTCGCCATCAGAGTTTCATGCCTGGTCGCTCGCTGCGATGCGAGCCCCTGCCGCCAGGCGTGCCGGCGCGGCCGGGGGATCGCGTTCAGCCCGCCCCAATTTCGAGGAGTTCGTATGTAGTGCCAATTGCATGTGGGCGTATCTGCGCGCCTTCCACGCCCACCTTTCGGATTTAAGCAGACAATCTTCTCGTGCTCGCGCGCGAGAGGTAAATGGCAGCTGCGTGTCTGGAGGTGGGCAGAAAGCTCAGCTGCGCCGCCATGCGCAACGCGCTGCAGCTTGGGGGCGAATGGGGGGTCATCAGTCTATGGGGGGTCGCCGACCCCGCGGGGCTCGAGATCTCTGACCCAGATGACGCCTGCGCGTATCTAGCTGAATACTGGGGTCAAGTCCATGGGGCTGGAGGAGGTTTCGAAGCTGATGAATGCGAGCAACTGCGCTCGCTTGTGCCTAGGCTTCCACGCGGAGTGAATTTGGCCCCGCAGCCTGAAGAGTTCGAGGACATGGTCGCCAAAACTCACGATGCCAGTCCTGGGCCCGACGGGGTCCCGTACAGCGCGTTCCCCAGAGCTGGTTCAGAGGCGATTGCGGTTCTGCATCGAGCTTGTCTCGCTCTTCTTGGACTCATCGGGCTCTCGGCTTCTTTCTGGCTAAGGGTGGGGGCCCCGAAGGATCGCAGCAGGTTGCGAGAGCCCCGGGGTGCGCCCGTCTCATTGCCTTTGCAAGTGGCGACAATAAATCTTTCAAGCGGTCAACAGGCCGCTGTCACACGTTGCCCAGGTGCGTTGTGATCCTGTACAGCAGGGTTTCATCCCATAGAGCCTGATGGCCGAGAGTTCGCTCCAGCTCGAAGGCTATGCGTTTCGCTGAGCCGCCCTGCAGTACTGTCGCAGAGGTGGATTTTTGTTGTCCGACTTTAAGGCGGCTTTCCGTCCTCGCTGCGCCCCGCGATGTTTTGGCCGCTGGCGGTCTTGAAGGTCGATTCGAGGGCCCTGGAGGCTATCGGGTTGTTTTTAAAGAATATCGGAGTCCATGTGTACTTTGGAGGAACCGAGGGCGCTGCCTCGCGGTCCTGAGGGAGATCGAGCAAGGGCGCCCTCTATTTGGAACTCTGCATGCCTTTGCCAGGGGCCGCGTCTTGAGGATGATCGGGGATGGGCCGCCGGCCTCTCGGAACTCCCATCTTGATGATCTAGGTATCGGCGCGGCCGACGTGACCCTGGCCCTGGCGACCTGCATGCCCGCGCTTAAGCTTGCCGAGAGAGCGGCTGGCTTGAAGCTCAACCTTCCGAAGTGCGTGTTGTCGCGGTAATTCACTGGCTCAGCCGGATAGAACTCGACCGCGCGATGCGTGGGCGCGACGTCGAGCTGCCAGACGTGGTCCTCGGCGCCGCAGGCAAGTGCCGTGGAATGTGGGCGGGGGGGGGGGGGTCGGGCAACTTGAGTTCCTTTTTTTTTTTGGGGGGGGGGGGGCTCTCGCGGCAGAGCCCTGCGACGAGCTCGAGACTGCCGGGCGTTAAATCAGGGGCTGTGCAGAACCCTGTTGCGCTACAGTGTACATGCCTTCTCCTGCCGCAGCTATGTTGCCTAGTTCTGCTGCCCGTCCAAGCTTTCCCCCCAGCGAGAATTTCGTGCCCACCAGGGTCACCAGAGCCTCGCGAACGCCCCAAGGAACTGATTACCTTATGCACCGTTGTGCGACATAAGAAATGGAGGGCTCGACGCTCAGGCGCGGCATCTTTTCGGCGTGGCGCGAGCGGCCATGTATAGGGTCGCCCTGCAGCCGAAGGCCTCCTAGTACAATTGCGAGTTGATTGGCGAGTTTAGCGACGAGGATGATTGTGTTATTCTGTGGAAGTGTAGCGATGGTATCCTCATCATGCTATGCCCTACCGCGTGAGGGACAACATCCAGGGGCCCCGTCAGTTCCCGAGTATCCATTCCTCTAGCGTGTCCAGGATTCGAGGGAAGACCGAGGGCCTACTTCGTGGGATGAAACAAACAAGTATCGGCTATTCAAGTACTTGTAGCTCGTGTGCGACATGTCTATCCAGACCTGAACCCCGACGGTAAAATGCATCTAATGCTAGCTCCCCCCCCCCGAATGCAGACATTGACCCCCCGCGTGCTGTCGCCAGCTTGCTCCGCTCCATGTGTAGCGCCTGGTGTGCCTCGGTCAGGTTTCTCCCGGGAAGGTAGCCATGCAGGAGATCATATTCTGCACTATATGACATGTCCTGCCTGAGAGCCTGTGTGTTCCCTGCTTTGCTGTCTTCCCCCATTCATATTCGTTGCCTCCTGTGCTGCGCGTGCCGCCTTCGCCCCCTTGCTCTCTGTTCGAAGGTCCCAGCCTGTGTCGGTTGCGATGTTTCATGACATCGTGCGTATCATTCATCACTCCTACCACCGCCAGGGAGGTTTGCAAGGAGGGCAGATCGTTGCAGCCGCCCACGCGCGGCTCACCCTGCTGATCCGTCGCGGGCCAGCGCCCGCCGCCACTCCACGGGCCGATTGGCGGACATTCTTCTCTTCTCGTCTCGTGCTTTTGGCCGCTCTTCTTCTCGTCTGGGTCATTTTGCTCCTCCTCTTTCTTGTCCTCCTCCTCCTCCTCCGCCTCCCCCTCCTCCTCCTCTTCTTTCTCCACCTCCTCCTCCTCCTCCTCCTCCTTTTCATTTCCCCAGCAGGATGATATTGCGCGTGGGCCAGAGGTCTCCCCCCCCGCGAGGTCGCGGGTTGAGGCTGCCTAGGTCGCCTGCGAGGATCTCTCCATCTTTCATCGGCAAGTAGCAAGATCGCAATCCTCCCGTCCCGTTCCGTTTCTCCCCTTATTGCTATTCCATCTGGTCCGCATCCCCCTTCTGCGTCCTCCGGTTCTCCCTGGCGGGCGAGGGCGGGGGCTTGGGGCGACCCTTATCCCCCCCCACCCCGCGTCGTCGCCCTCCTCTGCGTGGCTTTGCTGACGTAGTTCCCTCCTGCGCTCCCTGGCGGGCGGCCCTGGCCCTCTTCCCCGCGCCGACGCCCTCCTCAGCGTGGTTTTGACTCAGCTCGAACCCTTCTCGATCGTCGGCGGCCCCTTCGGGTCGCGCCCCCAGCTGCCCCGCGGGCAGGCCGCGCGGCCCCCCGCCGCGCCGCCGCGCGCCTGGGCGTTGCTGCCGTCCGTGGGCACCTGGCTGCGCCCGGCAGCGCCAGGGGCGGGGGCAGTTTCGGGCTCCGGGCTCGGGGGATGAGGGAGGGGGATGAGGAGGGGGAACCAATGAAGAAACCTATCAGTCTTCGCTGTTAGGTGATGATGATGATGATGCTGAGGAAGAGGAAGAGGAGGAAAAGAGGAGGAGGATGATGAGAAGAAAGTAGACGAGGAGGAGGAGGATGAACAGGAAGAAATGGAGGAGGAGGAGTGGGAGGAGGAGGAGGAGGAGGAGGAGGAGGAGGAGGAGGAGGAGGAGGAGGAGGAGGAGGAGGAGGAATAGGAGGAGGAGGAGGAAAAGGAGGAGGAGGACGAGCAGATGGAGGATGGGGGAGGATGAAACAGGAACAGGAGGAGGAAGAGGAGGAGGAGGAGGAGGAGGAGGAGGAGGAGCAATTTTGAATTGCGACCTGATTCGCCACGGACAGCGGTCAGATAGTGTCGGCACTCAGCTAGCTTCATACAAACGAGCAGTCGAGAGCATCGAAGCACGGACGCCAAGGAGAGTACACGTTCACGGCCCAGCCACCCCTTGCTCATCCCCCCCCAACGACCACACCCACTAGGTATGACAGCTTGGCGCCGCGCGTTTCAAAACACGACCAGGCTCCGACCCCAAACGGGCGGAGTACATGTCAAGACTGCTCCAATCCCACCCACCAACTGGCCCATCCCCGACAGTATCGCTTGCCGAACAGGCTACGCCATTGACGGTGCACGAGTGTGGGGAAAGAGAGAGGGGAACATATATAAGCAGGAGAGAGCAGGTGAGAAGGACATCGTCTCTCACCGAGTCCGCTGCGGGCACCAACGCGCCAGAAAGCATGGCGGGGCACGCTATTCGCACTCCCCGCCAAGCCGCCAGCGCCTGAGCACCAGCACGTGACACGCACCACAACATGCAAAGAGACGGTCCTGACAAACACATTCCACGGTGTCCGCAAACAGTGGGCAGGCAATGCAGTGTCAGCAGGAGGCAGCAACCCTTCCCTGCTACTTCAACGCTGCAACAGACCCGACCCTGCTACCCCTTCTCTGCCGCTCGCCGCGCGCGTGGAAGGGTGCGGAGGTGGAGGCAGAGGGGAATAGACGAAGGTGATACTCCATGGTCCCGAGGGGATACACGCTCCGTCGCATTTAAGCCATCGTGGGCACCCGTATGGGCTCTACGGGTCTACCCCCTCGGGAAATAGTGCACTGATGGGCAGCTTGACATTCGCCTCTCCGCTTGTCCTCTGCAGACACCACTTCGCCAGCTCGGCGTGGCGGGGCACGCTATTCGTACTCTCGGCCCTCGGCCAGCACGTGGGGTCAAGCATGTGACATCATGAGGCAAAGCATCCGCCTTCCCTTTCTACCCCAACACTGCAAACCCTGCAACCCAACCCTGCTACCCCTTGACTGCCGCTCGCAACACGCATGCGAGGAAGGGAGCAGGATGAGAAGGGAAGATGAGGACGGGAGGGGCCATGGGAGTCACGACGGCCTCAAGAGGGGTCACCTCGGGGCCAGCAGTGCTCTCAAGGCTCGCGGGGGACGCCCGCGGAAACTCCCGCGCACCGTCGTCGACACGAGCGGACATCCACATCCATGGTACCTCCGTCGCTGCACTGACATCCGTGTATACAACCAGTCTGTGCAACTGTGAATCCTCGATCGATGCATGCTGACAAGTCCACAGCAACATTATGCAGAAGTGCATGGAAGAATGGAGACGATGCAAGAAAAGACAAGGCAATTCGCACTGTTCTTTGGACTCTGAGACAAAGTTTTCGCAAGAGAAAGTGCCGCGGCAGGCCTGGACAGCTCATCCACGAGCCTGCTGCAATCTGGAAGTGGACTTCGCGGCAAGACACTAGTGTGCGATTGAGCTTGCAGCCCTTGCGGAGGTGACGCGCGCTGGGCAAGAGCCGATCCCCACTGGCGGTGTCCACCTCCGCAGGCAAACGCACCCCTGTGAAAACAAGTCCTCCCCATGGCCGTCATGGGATCGTCTGGGGCTTCGATCCCTCTCAACATTTGAACTGCGGGCTGCCTCATCGCGTCCCCTTGGCATCGGGCGCTCTTCTCCAGGAACCACACGCGGCTCCACACTGCTTGACATCGGTGACGATGCCGCCCCGCTGGCCGCCATGGCTGCCACGATGGTTGGCTGCCCTGGGCCTGCAATGCCCCTTGTCCTCATGGCGCGGCGCTCCTCCTCGGCGTCCTCAGCACGGCGCTCGGCAGCTGCTTTGGCGCGGGCCGATCGGGCAGCCTTCTTGGCCTCCCAGTCGTTGGAAGCCACATCGTCATCAGCATCCTCTGGCACAGGCGCACCATGCCCGCCATCGACATCTGCCTGTAGCTCTGCCGCGGCACGCGCCTGGGCCTCTGTCAGGATGGGCGCGCCCGACACCGCCACGGGCGCGGCAGGGCCTGGCGATGCAACCACCTCCGCCTCCCGCGCTGGCACTGCTGGCGCCACTGCTGCAGGCTGCTGTGCCTGGGCCGCGCCCGCTGCGAGCTGCCCCAGCGTCGCCTGCAGCCCGCCCAGCACCGACGGCAGCCCCGCCAACTGCTGCGCCATGTTCACCTGGCCCTGCTGGAGCTCCGCGATGGCGGCGACAGAGCTCGACGTCAGCGCATCCGCTGGGCAGCTCCCCCGCGGCGACGCGCCTGCTGGCGGTGTGGCTGTGCCGGTGCCCCCATTTGCGGCTGCCGTCGGCGACGTCGTGGCATCGCTGTTCGGCTCTGGATAGTGCGTCTAGAGTTGGCGTAACAATAGCTGCGCCCTCGCCAACTCACTGGAACGCTGGGGCAGGACGCCTGACTTGTGCACGAGGGTAGCCTGTGCCTCATCGACGTCGTCCTGTGCCCGTCTCATCCTCTTCTCGGCCCGCTTCACAAAGGCACGCTGGTGCTGGAGCCTGACCGTCGGCGATCTGCACGCTATGATCATGGTCATGAGGACCGCATATTCCTGCGCCAAATCGTTGATCACACTCTCAGGGTGCTCAAGCTGCCGACTTGCACGCAGCTTCTTGGCAGAGGCGATGGCCAGGCGACGAAGATACCTCCTGTGTACCTGCACTGCTTCTTCAGTGCGAGGCGGCTCCAGCCAGGAAGGGTGCGCCCTGGCCTCCTCAGGGAGCGCAGGCAACACCCCTAGTGGCTGCATCGCCGCCGAGTCCGCCGTGTCCGTGCCCTCCTCGACGTCGCTCTCCTCGAACGTGACATCTGCCGACCTCGACCGACGAGAGGCGCGGGTCCGCCTGGGCCCAGACGTCGAGCGGCCTCTGCGAGCCTCAGGCTCGGGCGCAGCCTCAGCCTCGGGCTCAGGCGTCGGCGCCAGCCGCCTCTGGAGCGTAGCCTCGGCAGCGTCGGCACCAGCGTCGGCACGTTTTCCCTGCTGACTTCGACCACGCCGTCGTCGTCGATCGGCACGTTCTCCCTGCTGACTGGGACCAGCCGTCCCCCCCGACGATCGGGCACGCCGATCGGACTGCGGGGTGGGCGTCTGCTGACGCCTGCCTGCCATCTGCGGCGGTGGCCCAACATTGGCCCACGGCGCCTGGGCAGGCATTGGGAAGCACACCCTGCACAGTCTATCCTGCATCATGTTGGGCTCGCCGCGCTGCTCGCACCACCATGCTGGTGGCGGCGGCGGGACGGGCACGACCTGCTTGCCCTTGCCCTTGCCCGTGCCGCCACCTTTGCCTCCTCACCGATGTTGCCACGACATCGACCTGTGATGATCACGTAGCCGCTGCGCCGCGCCGACAACTCGTAGCAGCACGCATGCACTGGCGCGGGCCTGTCGATCACGACGGTGCCACGCTGGCTCGTCTCCACGGCCGCTGGGCCGCGCGCGAGCCCGCGGCGAGCGGGAACCCCGCGGCATGCCGCCCGTCGCAGTCGCGGCCAAGGCCCAGGCCGCCGATCCGCGCAGCGGCGGGCGCGGGCCAGCGCGCGTAGCCGCCCGCCCCTCGTGAGAGGTTCGCTGTACCTGTTACAGCTCCCAAAACCTCTCGAGCAGGGGCGGCAGCTGAGGAGGAGGAAGAGGAGGAGGAGGAGTTGACCGCCCGCCCGCCCGGCCGGTGTCTTCAGTGGTTGGCATGGTGGTACATGCCCTTGACGCCTCGCGTATCCACACCAGCCCATCTAGAAACGATACCCAGGCGAGTATTTTTTTCGGGGGGGGGGGCGAGAGGTTCTCGGAGTTTTCTTGGAGCCACTATGGGGTTGCAGGAGCGGTCAAAACCGCCGCAAGATGCAGCTAATATAGTGTCGCACGCGCACAACCTGAGACGCCTCGAGCCACCTTGTGAAGAAAGCTTTCTTGGGATTCTTTTTGGGCCCTCTTGGCTTTTGGGGTTTCTTGGAGTGTCTTGGGCCCTCTTGGAGCTCCTTGGGGCGGTCTGGGAGGCCTTTCGGGGCAGTCTTGGGGCCCATAATTCAAAAAAAAACGAAAAGGGGTTCTCAATTCAGCCCCACCCCCCGAAGGCTCAAACAAAAACGTTTTGGGACCCCGCTTTTGGAACGATCTTTGGCGCTCTTGGGGCCGTTCAGGGGCCCTCTTGGGCCTCTCTCGAGGCACTCTTGCGCCATCCTGGGGCCATCGTGAGGCTTGGAAAGCCCAACGGAAGCCGAACATGCAACAACATAGATGCTCCTTAGGTTTTGGAGCCATTTTGGCATCTTGGGGGTGTCCTAAGAGGGTTCGGAGGGTACTAGGAACCGTCTTGGGGCCGTCTTTATCTCTCTTGGATGTGCGTCGGAGGCTATCTTGGGCCATCTTGAGCTATCTTGAACCAGCTTGGAGGCCATCTTGGGCTTTCCGAGGCCCTCTTGGAGCCATCTTGGACCACAAAGGACGCTCTGCCACATCGCGGCCCCCGCCCCCCTCCTGACCCAGGAGGGGGGGGGGGTGAACCTCCCCGAACAGGGGGAGGAAGGAGGTCGGAAAAGGAAACGCTTCAGACCACCTGCACCCTAAAGGGCTGGTGGGATACTCCCCCAACCCTGTGCCATCACAATGAACTCGGAGGCCTGGAAATGGGCACCAACACCAACACAGGGGGTTGCCTCCACAGGGGGAATATGATCCTATATTTCGGTGTTGGTGGTAATATTTCGGCCACCTTGGAAGCCAGAATATTACCACCATCACCGAGATCGGGATCTTTTTTCCTCGATGGAGGCACACCGCCGATATTGGTGTTGGTGTCAACCTCTAGGCCACCGATGAACAGCGTTACATTTGATGTCCCGCTCGCCCAGCCGACCGAACGCCCCACCATTGAGAGTGGAGACTCCGTTCAATGCCCCCCCCCACGCCCGACCGGCGTCTTCGGCGGTCGCGAGAGAGTTCTCCCCAATCTTGTCCCAGCAAAGAGCGAAGGGCGAAGGTTTCATTTCATTTCCCGCCCGTCGCCGTCGTGGTTAGTGTCCCGCCCGTCGCCATCGTGGTCGTGGTCGTCGTCGTCGTGGTCGTGGTCGTCGTCGTCGTCGTCGTTGTCCTCGTCATGGTCGTCGTCGTCTCGTCGCCCCTGGCGGCACGCTTGACTGTCTGTCTCTGTTGCTCGTCGTCGTCGCCGCCGTCGGCGTTGTCGTCGTCGTACACGACGGACACACCCCGGACACACCTGAACACGCCGGAGACGCCAGACACCCCAGACAGCCTTGACAGCCCGGACACCCCGGACACTTTGGACACCCCGGGGTGTTTTTGGCGTGCGATTTTGTGAAGCGCTCTTGTCTTCTATATATATAGGGTCCGACACGCCGGACGTGCCGGACGTGCCAGACACGCCAGACATGCCGGACACCCCGGACACCCCTGAAACGCTGGACACCCCCGACACCCCGGGACACGCTGGACACCCCCGACACCCCGGACACCCCAGACACCCTGATCACCCTGGACACCCCGGACACCCCGGACACCCCAGACACCCTGGACACCCCGGACATGCCGGACACCCGGGACACCCTAGACTTCCCGGACACTCCAGACACCCCAGACACGACGGACACCCCGGACAATCCCCGGACAATCCTTGGACACCAGACACAGAGGACTATTAGTCCATTTGAGAGGTCTGCGCGGAATTGGCGCATGGCCCCCCCATCCTTGGCGCGATCCGCGGGCCAGGGATGGGGGCGCAGCGCCAATCCAAGAGATCCGCGCGGACATCGGAAGTTTATGTTTATGCAGCTGGTCTTTTTTCACTGTAGTCAAGGTCCCCTTCCTCAACGCACTTCTTGTGGAGGGGAGAGTGGAGAGGGAGACAGCACTTCGATCAGCGTAGCGGGCGTCGGATTTCAGGGGTGCTCGAGCTGCGGTTGCTGCCAGAAGTGGCCCAGGAGGGGCCCAGTTTTTGCAGGAGGCCCAGATGGCTCTCCAGGGCACCCCTCGCCAGGTCCAGAGAGCCCCAGGGATCCCGAAACAGAGCGCATGGCGGGGAGTACCTGTTTGGCAACCTCCGATCGAGATCCCGCGCTGCCCGTAGACAACGATGGCGATGCTACGCGACAGGTTGGAACCGTGTGCCGATGGAGTTAAACGAGCAACTCACGAGGCAGATGCGACGATGGCAAACTTGCACTTTTCATGTTGGGCATGTACATTGCGTATGCGAAGGTGGCAATGGGTATGGAAAGCAGTGCATTCGACGAACAGTAATGGATCCGACTGGCATCTCAATGGGCCCCGTAGAACTACCCAGTCTCCGACGCAAAGCATGAAGACCCATCACAAGATGGGCCGACGAAGTCCGACAGTATGCTTGCTTCGATGTATGGGATGTGGCGATCTGCCTGATGCAGAGGTTTTGCTACATGTGTCCGTGGAGCACTGGGATCACCGTGGAACGAGATCACGTTGCGCACCATAAACGAGCGGCCGCACGGGACCTTCATTGTTCCGGCGGCCCCGTGCCGCACCCGCAGCACCCCGGGCATCCGGCGATGTGTTTGTTTCAGTGTGCGCGGAGGCCCCGCGTCCTTTCCCGTGGGCAGTCTTGCGCCCCGGATCCGTGTTTGATGGCCATGGCCCAGCGACCGAAGCGAAGGAACGGCGCTTGCATTCCACGAGTGGTATCATCGAAGATCTGGGACCCCAGACGGCGCCCACGCGCGGGGAGTGCTTCGTGCTTCGTGCCCATCGGGTCCAGGCCTCCCTGATGGGGTCAGAGCAGACGGAATCGGAGGATCGCGACGCAACGCCGCTGCATCGTCGATGCGGCGCGATCTGCAGGCCGATGCTCTCCACGCCGACGTCGCCGATGCATCGGCGATGTATCGGCGACGCACCGGCGACGCATCGGCGACGCGGCGGCGATCCTCCGATCCCGTCTGCTCGGACTCCAGTTGGGCTGGGAGGCATCGGGCCCGTTCGCGGGAGCACTTCGCTCTCCGTGCTCCCTGCGCGCCCGTCGATCGAGAGCGTGGGGGGTGGGGGCAGGCGCCGAGGCCCCTGAGGGCGGTGCCCGCGCCCGCGCCGGCCGCTGCTCCCCCGGCCCTGGTCGCGGCCGCCGAAGGCGCCGAGGAGACGCGGTCGGAGTGCACTGCCGCCCCCGTCCCTGCCCCGCAGGCTCAGGGGCAACGAGGAGGAGGAGAAGGAGGAGGAGGAGGAGGAATAATAGTAATAGTACTGGCAATGATAGTAATATGCATAATCGCAATTAGTAATCGTAATAATAGTACGACTAATCATGCTAGTAGTAATGATACTGCTGACAAGAATACGAATACGCATAAGAATAAGACAACAAATAGTCATACTAAAAATAATGATATTAAAAGAAGAAGAGGAGGAGGAAGAGGAGGAGAAGGAGAAGAAGAAGAGGAATAATAATAATAAGAGTAGAAATAGTACGAATGCGAGTAATGATAAGAATAATCAGGAGAAGAAGGAGGAGGAGGAGGAAGGGAGGGGTTTCGAAGCTACCCGCCCCTTGTTTTTTTCCTGGGGCCCAAGATTAGCCCAGGTTTCTCTTTCAAGCGGGGGGAGGGTTCGGAAGCTACCCCTCCTCCTTTTTTGCAACTGAGATCGGCGATCGGTTGGTTTTGGGTGCCTTGTTGGCTTTCGGCGCGTATTTGTTCTTTTGGCGCTGACAACAGCGCTTTGCCAGATGCGTGTGCCCGAAGCTGCTTGGGCCCACAAGTCCGCACGCTGAACGCCTGACTTCGGTCGGACGAGTTCTGATACTTCTCGAGTGAGCCATGGCGGAATGGGCCGACTTCGCGGCTTTCCGCTTCGACCTTCTGACGGTCATCGAGCCGATCTCCACCGAGACGGGCCAAGAGGTGTCTGCGGTGCTGCTGCGCACCACGGAGACCCAGTCGCACTTTTGCGTGCCAGCGGGGTTTTTCGACCTTCAGGCTTCGTCGTCGGTCCCGTGGCAGTCGCAGCTTGCGACGACCAGGGGGAGGCGATGAGTGGCATCGAGCTGTCTGTCGAGTTCGTGAGCGTCCCGACCGACAGCATCTACAACTTCGGCGAGATGGCCACGGAGTTCGCCGTGCCGTTTCAGGACGAGGGTCGTTCGTCCCACCCGAATTCCGCCATTCTGGCCGTGCCAGAAGGCTTTGCCCAGGAAGTGGCAGACTCTCATTCGGCTCGCGCTGGCGGGGCAGCAGGCGAGCTGGATCCGATCGCGGCCGCTGCGTGTTAGATCCTTCGGGCGGCGGCTCGGCATCGGCGGCTTGCCATCGGAGCCCGTGAGGGGCCCAAGCCCCTTTCTGATCACGCCGGATCCGCTGGCGGCGCAGCCGAAGCCAGGGCGCGGGGCAGGGCGTGGCGCCAGCGCGCGCCCTGCCGCCGCGGCGAACGCCCGGGAAATCGCGGATGTTCGTGCCTCGGAGGTGGACAGAACCCCCAACAGTGACACGTCGATCAGTGAATTGTCCGTTTTCGGTTCTCGAGAGGGCGCCGTGGCCGTCATTTTTCAGGCTTGCGCCCACCAGGTTTGGGCCTCAGGTCGTTTTCACTAAACCACGTTTTGCTAAAGGGGGGTCTGTCCAACCCCGAGTGCCCAGATAGGCCGCCGATGTGCAGCAGACGCTGGCGCGCACCGAGTCCGCCCTGGTCGGCGCCGGGCGCGGCGCGCCGCTCCTGAGCACCCGCCGCCGGCGCCCGGCCTGCTACGCAGTGCGGCGGCCGCAGTTCCTGGGTTGGCCAGTTTCTTCGGCGGATCGGGCGCGCCCGCGCCAGAGCCGTCGCCACCACAGGCCGGCGCCGCGCCCGCAGGCACCGTGCCTCCAAAGCCGCCAGGGCTGGGGCTGATGAGCTCTCTCATAGTACATGTTCGGTGGTGGGCGACTTCTGGCCGTACTGTTTGGGTGACGATGTGCCGTGATGCGTATGTGCTGCATGTTCGGTTCGGGCGTGCGCCCCCAATGTGGGCGGAGTACTAGACTGGTCTGTGCTTGTGCGTCCCATTCCGCTACTCCTCCGCCGACGTCGTGTTTTTTGTCGCAACGTTGTCCCCCAGAGGTCTTGGCCCCATCCCAGGTGCCTGCTTTTCTATGCGAGTCGTTTCGCGTTGGCCCTGAGGCCTGGTGAGGGGCCCTGGAGGCCGAAAATTTGCCCCCAAAACCTTTGGTCGTGGCCCTGGGTGCCTCGCTGTTCCCCCCCCCTTTTTTTCGGAGGGCGCCACCTGCGCGCATACTCCGACGTTGGCCAGGTCGATCTCGGGCCCAGGATCGGTGTGTACGCCTTCCTGCCCAAGCCAGGAGGGCGTATGCTCAGCGAGCGAAGAACGGTATAAAATAAACTTTCCGCCGTCGGGGACACCTGCCCCTGGGCGGCTGGAAAGTTTATACCCCTACGGTGCCACCGTAAGGGTATAAACTTTCCAGCCGCCCTGGGGCAGGTGTCCCCAACGGCGAGTTTATGTTATACCGTTCTTCGCCCGTTGATGTGCACCGATCCTGGGCCCAGGATCGGATCGGTGTAGGTGTGCTGTCCCTTCCTCCTCCTCTCTCCTCCCTCCCTCCTCCTCCTCCTCCCTCCTCCTCCTCCTCCCTCCTCCTCCTCCTCCTCCTCCTCCCCCTCCTCCTCCTCCTCCCCCTTCTCCTCCTCCTCCTCGCTCGCCCGCCTCAGTGCCCTCGGGCCCGCCGCCCCGTCGGCCCCCGGCTCAGCGCAGGAGGGCGCGCGCTGCGCGGCCCCGGCAGCCCCGCGGCCCGCCGTGGAGGACGAGGCCTTCGTCGCCGTCTGGCCGGTGGCGGAGAAGGCGCCGAGGGACTCGCGGCCTCTCCCCCGGGCGGGAAGAGGGATCTTTGTGGAGACCTCGGGGGCGGGAAAGAGGGGGGTGATGACTAGGGGGGGGGTGGATTTCATGGCGCGGGCCATGAGATCTCCCTCAGATTGCATGGCGCCTCTTCTTCTTTCATTACGTCCCAGGCCCCCCCGCTGGGCCGCGCACATGCCGCCGGTCATGATTTGCACCCCCCCTTGGCCACCCCCCTCTTGGCCGCTCCCGAGGAGATCAGGGCTGGACCTAAACTGTGTTTTGGTGATTTCGTGGGCCGTTTTCGCTTCGATTTCGTTTTGCGGTAAAAGCTGATTGAAAACAAAAAGAGGGCAAACAAGAACAACATGAAAACGAAAAACACCGTTTAGGTTCAGCCCTGGTGGAGATCAGCTGTCGGGGGTTAGAGTCGGTTGTGGGCCCGGGGTGGCCCAGCACTGGCTCCAACAAGAAGGAAGGGGCAGGTTCGAGGTTCTGGGTTCGGGTTTCTCTTGTGGTTCGAGGTTCTGGGCAGGTTCGAGGTTCTGTGATTCTTTGTTTCTCTTCGGCCTCCAGGGGCCGTTTTCGAGCCTGGGGACCGTCAGGAACGGATCTGGGGTTAAAGATTGCTCCAGATGTACCTTGGAAGTGGTCTGGGGATTGATTTTGACCGAATTTGGCTTCATCCCCTCTCTCCGGACCGATTTTCTACGGTTCCATCCAGGGGTGACTCGCCGACGCATGGTTTCGAATGATCTGATATCTATCGTTGTCTATGCAACGATGTATTCGGTGTTTGCCGTGTCTTCTGTCAGACGTGAGTGGCCAGCGTTCAAGCTCCCACCCGGCACGTTTCACCATAGCCGCTTCATGCCCCACTCCTGGACCGCTCCTCCGGGGTTGGCATGCAGGCGGTACCTGTACCTGTACCATCCAGATCGGACCCCCCCCGACCGCCTCCAAGCCGGGAGCCCCCCAACGGTGTGGTGACCACACCGCGTGGTGAGTCAGTGAGGTTTCGGGGCCACCGCGCGGTTCTGGGACTTGAGTCGTGCTCCGAGGATTGTGCTGGGTGATGGGAGCCTCCGGTCCCAAAACCATGCGGTGACGGGGCCGCGCGGTGAGGTCGTTGGAGATGCCGAGGTCACCAGGCGGTCCGTCGCCACACGGTTCTGCGGCCTGGGACGGTGGGGCATTCGTGGTCCCGAGCGGCGGGGGCTCCGGGTGGGTTCTGGCAGGGGGATTGCGGGTTGCGGGTTTCCAAGGCCAGGGTTTCCAGAGGGTGGGGGATGTGTGTGGGGGGGGGGCGGGGACCTGGTGGAGTCCGAGAACTGTTCACACACAACGATTCTCTCCAGGCCCATGCTGTGCCCAGACTCTGTGCACATGCCTCCCTGGCCGTGCCAGAAGGGCGCAGTCAGTCAGTCGGGCAAGCCTGGGGCGAGAATGCATCGGCCAAGAGCGTTCCAGAGCGCTGTGGGAGCGTCCCAGGGCGCTCTGAGCCAGTCTCGGCGCCCGACGTTTTTTTTATTCTGCAAGGCTACCTCAGAGGTGTCTCAAGACGTGTGACATGCGTGCGTCACATGCGTGCGTGCGTGCGCCCGACGCATCCTCCAGATCCGCAGGCCTACAGAGATCTTGCAGGCGTTTTCTCATTCCCAATCCCCGACTTCCCCACGAAAAACTCAAACTGCTCAGAAAAGGAGGGGAATTCGGGGATACTGCCCCAGGAGACTCTTCGGACGCGCCCCCTGCGAGGATGGACGCCCCCCCCATCGTATATCCTCGAGCATTGCCCACTATTTTTGGCCCGCTCGTCAAATCCACGAAGTCCGAGGACAAGGGTCGACACATCCCTGGTCCTTTCTCAGCCATGCGACGTCTTGAGTTTTTCCATTCGCGGTCCCTTGGAGTCCCGACCCATTCCCTGGGGCCGGTTCTTCATCCCGAGTCGCTTCTTGACGGCCCTGGGGCCCAGCGAGGGCCCCCGAGGGCCGCGAAAGCAGCAGACAGCACGCCCGTCCTGATGCCTTCGAATCGCGATCGTGTCTGGGCTTCCTCCTCCGACGCTGTCCCCGCCCTGGCCTCGTCCTGCGTGTGCGCCGACCCCGGGCTCGGGGGCTGGTCGCGCCAGGAGCAGCCCGCCGTGGAGGACGAGGCCTCCGCCTGCGTCTTGGCCTGGCCCGCGGCAGAGGAGGCGCCCAAGGACGCACGGCTCAGGGGCGCAACCTTAGGGGAAGGGAGGAGAAGTGAAGACAAATAATAGCAATAAGTAGGAGAGAAGTAGGAGAGAGAAAAAGGAAGAAGCGACATGCGGGCGCAGGTGCCCGCATGCCTTGGGGGATGTGTAGCGACATGCGGGCGCAGGTGCCCGCATGCCGCGCGACATGCGGGCACCTGCGCCCGCCAGCCGCTACCGCCGTCTATTCTCCAACCGCCGTCTATTTGTGAAAACAGATTAGGCTCAAGGGGGGGTTATTCGACGTCCGAGGTTTTCTGGCGTTACCCTCGGTTCTCGGCGATCTTCTAGCCTCGGGACGCTCTCCAGCAGCATGCGCCTCGCCGGGAGCGCTCCGGGGTTGCCCGGATCGTCCCGAAAAGGGCCGCTGGAGAGCCGAACTATGGCTCGAAGGCCTGCGTCAGGGGGGGGGTAGGCTCGACCCCCGAGTGCCCATTCATCGCCGATGAGGGCCCGATAGCCCGCTCCGCCCAGGAGCGTGCGCAGCCGCTATCGGGGTCCTGTCGTCGATCTATCGGCGAGGTATCGCGGATTCCAGCTCGGCGCGTCCCTCTCCCCCCTCCGAGCCAGTCCCACCTATGTTTCCCCCTCAAGGACGAGGCCTGCGCCTCCGCCCTGGCCTGGCCCATGGCAGAGAAGGCGCCGAAGGACTCACGGCCTCGCTGTACTGGGTGGGTGAAACGCAAGGAGGGAGGAGGAGGGGGAGGAGGGAGGAGGAGGAAGGAGACGCGGGGACCGTCTCTTCATAACGAGGACCCAACACCACAGGACGGTTGGGAAAATTCGGTCACCAGGAAAGTACCGAAGGTGGAGGGTTTTCACCTGCCGACACTGTTTCGATATGTTTCTTGGTGCTCGAAATCATTCCAAGGATGTGGTCCTTACGTAGGATGGGAGCAGCATAATCTCCGGGGTGATCTCAAGCCGGAAGGCTTTGGGAGCAATTGCAACGGATCTTATGATTGTTTATGTTCGATTGTTTTCACCTCGACGGACCTTGTTGTAGGCCTGTTTGGGAGTCGCTTGGAGGCTTGGGCCCTCTCGATTAACCGCATGCCGCAGATGATGCAAATGCCCCCCCCCTCACCCTATGTATCTGATTATCCACGGGGGGTATGTGGGTTCACATTGCCACAAGAGGCGTGTGGGCGCGCTTTGGGCGAACTTTATAACTTTGGGTGAACTTTATAATCACTCCCAAAGTTAGCATCGTAGCTCTGATCTTCATATCATGCATAGCACCAGGAGTAACCCTTATTATCACATTCGGAAGAATGTATCTGGCGAAACGCACGTTTTCGGAGATGCGCTGAGTTTTCGAAGGTTCGCTGAGTTCCCCTTCCTTCCTTCCTCTTTGAAGGTTCTAGTTTTCCTCTTACTCCTATGCCTTCTTCATCCCTCTGCGCCCCAGCTGAACTGGTTGATCGCCGTCATGGATTACTACCCCCGACGAGCAACCATTATCTATACGTCGAGTAGAACATCAATGACTCGTTATTTTCACACATAGAGCTCGACAGGTCCAGAACTTTGATTTCTCTTGGCATCTCCTCCTCCTCCTCCGTCCCCCTCTCCTCGTCCTCCTCCTCTTTTCTTGTCCTCCCCTCCTTCTGTTCATTTTATTTTTGTTTTTTTGGTTGTACGTCTTGGGCTCTCACGAATCAGTTGGAAAACCAGTTGCGCCGGGCGCTTCGTCAGATGTTGCGGATGGTTTTGGGTGCTCCTCGACGGCGACGGGGCAATACCTCGAGCGACGCAGGGGCGCACGAGACAGCGCTGTTTGACGACGACCACCAGAGCGAAGATGACCGCTTCGACCATGTGCCGACTGGATAGAACGATCTACAAATGAAGTGCAACATTCGTTGGGGAAGCTGGGCATTGGTGACTGGATCGCTACCCAGCGACGGAGGAAATGGATATGGGCATCTCAAGTGGCCTCCGACCGTCACAAATGGACATGCAAAGCTTTGATGTGGGAGTCCGCTCTGCACACGGAATCCTGGCAACCTGAACGCAGACAAGCGAGGCCAAAAACGCGATGGATTGATGATATACGCAAGCATGCGGGGATGGTCTTTGGAATTATTTTCTCAATGCGCTTCCCCTCTAATTGACCAATCTACCATAGAACCGTACTCGTCCCATACCTCTTAGGCGAGCCCCCCATGAGTGGCCAGTGTATCATTACACCATGATGTTTCTCAGGATTCGTGCTCACCCAACTCCTTCAAACAAGCTCCAGGGGAAGGCTTTGCAAGATCAGCTTGGAGGTCATTCAAGATCCATCCAGACATCCCAACATCGATTTCTCTGGGAAGAGTTTATTGAATCGCTTCGCTCATTCCGCCGGCCCATCATATGGCATCGCTGGTTTTTGTCTGTGTGTTCGTTGCCCATGTTGCGCTCTTGGGGGCGGGTGTCGTTCGGACGCGTTGCGTGGGGAGTTTTGATGGTGAAGCAGTTCCCTGGGGGTCGTCTCTCGATGGGGCGAAATAGAGTCGTCGTCAAGATGCTTCTTTGGGGGGCCTCTTGGGGTCTGTTGAGAGGCCGTTCGGGGGCGCCTGGGAGACATGTTTGAAGCCTTCTGGGGCTTCTTTTGGGCCTCCTGGGAGTCTCCTGGGGCCTCTTGGCGACATCTTGGGGCCTCTTGGAGGCCTCTTGGGGCCTCTTTGGGACCTCCTGGGCGCCTTCTGGGACGGAGGGCTCCATTTTTGAGTTCTCGGTATCCCTCCTGAGTCCCTCTTGGGCCCGTCTTGGGGCCTCTTGGTCCGTCTTGGGCGGCACTTGGGCCGTCTTGAGGGCTCTCTTGGGTCGTTTCGGCGCCGTCTTGGGAGCTTCGTGGGCCGTCTTGGAGCGGTCTTGGGGGCCTCTTGGGCCGTCTTGGAGCGTCCGGAAGCCGAAAAAGCCAGAACACAAAAAACATAGAAAAAACCAATGAAAATCAACGATTTTGGCCTCTTGGGGCTCTCTTCGGAGGCCTCTTGGAAGGCTCTTGGGGCGTCTTGGAGGCCTCTTGGGCTGTCTTGGGGGCCTTTTGGGCCGTCTTGGGGTCATCTTCGGCGTCTTCGAGCGCTCTTTGGGCGTCTCGGGGGCCTCTTGGGCAGTCTTGGGGGCCTCTTGGGGCACTCTGAGCGCGCTCTGGGGAGCCTGAGAGGCCGCACCCAGAAGGAAAACCATCTCTGAGTAGACTTGGTCGGGCGGCGGTCGGGCGGCGGTCGGGCGGCGACCGGGCGGCGACCGGGCGGCGACCGGGCGTTGGTCGGGGTACTTTTCGCCGGGGGACCCCCAGGGGCCGCCCCGCGCGCGCGAACTAGAAATACTGTTAATACTGTTAACCAGTTACCGGAGATCTTAGCACGCCCTGGCCCGTTGGGCCGGCGAATTATCCTCCCAGGCTCCCGCGTTTTGTTCCCCACGATGCGATTCTCACCGGCACAGGGTTAAGCAGGGCATCTTGCGGACATTTGGGAGCTTCTGGGGGCTCAGGGCCGTGTGTGGTCGGTTTCTGAGTTGCTTGTGGCTCTTTTGGACATGTGGAACTTTCCAGCCGTCTTGGATCCGTCTGGAGGCCGACCACATTACCGAATAGCGACACTTGGGAGAGGGGGGGGGCGATCTTCGGAGTGTGGGCGCGAGTACACAAGGGGGAGAGGGGGTCGACCTTAGAAGACACGAGGGACAGGACTTGAATCAGACCGACGGGAGCGTTCTAACACGCCCCAAAATGCTGACGGCATCGTGGCGGACTGGGGCCTGGCGCGCCTCAATCTTTCTTGAGGATCGGGAGCACCAGCCGCACAGCATCATCACCATCAGCATCACCAACATCATCCTCATCATCATCAGCATCAGCAGCATCAGCATCAGCATCAGCATCAGCATCAGCATCAGCATCCTTACCATCACCATCGCCATCACCGCCACCATCATCATGACCATCATCTCCAATATGCACCACGACCACCATCACCATCATCATCATCACTTCGCCATAATCATCAGCATCGCCACCATCATCATCATCATCATCATCATCATCATCATCAACATCATCATCATCATCATCATCATCATCATCACCAGCTTCATCACCATCACGCCTAATCGTCGCCGTAAGCATCTGTCATCACCATCATCACCATCATCATAATCACCACCACCATCGTCGTCGTCCCGTCATCCTCAGCTTTGTCATCGTACCCATCACCGTCATGAGCACCCTCACCACCATCGTCACTATTTTTTGCCATCGTTGCACCTTGCCCAGAGAGCAGGCTGGCGCGCGCGAGCGCGGCCCTCCAGCAGGGGATGCTGCTTTTTCTCCTCGTCGTTTCGCCTGGCTTGGCAGATTGTGCGGCCGACGCTCACCGCGAACTCACGGTTGAGTCGTTTGAGTTCTGGATTGATGGGCTTTGCGAGTTATCCCCCAGCAGGGAGGGGGAGGCTCCCGTGGCGCAACAGATAGGGTGCGAGCTGTATGGCGCAGTTTGTTGTTGTTCTTTCTCTTCCTCCTCTCTCCCCCCTAGCAAGCACGAAGGCCCTTTGCAGTATGATTTGTTGTGGGAACTGTTTTGCCGAACGATATGCCGAGGAACAGGTCTTACCTTGCGGCGCAGTGGGCGCCGGCACGTCATTCGATGGTGCGCGCGCGCGTCCTGCATAGGCTGGTGTTCGCGCTGCCGTTGGATTGGGGGCTTTGCAGCCTTGGGTACACCTCGTTTGTTCTCGGAGGGCGCATCGCGCGCATCATTCGCGAGGCCCTGTTGGTCCAGCTAGGGGCGGCCAGGGTCTCAAAGTCGTATGATGGCCTGTGGCCGTCTGGGTCCAACCTGCAGGGTCTGGACCTCTGCTGAGTGCGACGGCTTGCAGGCCGAAAGAGCAGGAATGCCTGATGTCAGCTTGGGCCAGACCGCAGGGGCTGTGTTAATCAAGGGCTCCCTCGAGGGCGCGAAGTTATTCGCGCATCGCGCTTCGCGGTCCTCGTTCCTTCTCCTCCTCCTCCTCGTCCTCCTATTCTCCCTTTGGGAGGGCGGCGCGAGAGCGCGAAGTTATTCGCGCTTCGCGCTTCGCGGAGCGCGAAGCGCGAAGTTGGGAGCCCTAGCAGGGGCTGTGTTAATTGAGAAACATGGCTTCGGCCCGTCTGCGGGCCGGACGGGGCGGGGAGGCCCGAGATCGGGGTCGTCCACCTGCAGGAGCTGGGCCGACGGGTCAAAATGCCCTCGTGCCACGGAGCATGACGGCCCGAGGCCGCGGTTGCCTGCCCGTTCGCCCAGCCATGGTTGGCGCCTTGTGGCTGGTGCTTCCTGGCTCCCATGGCCGGCACTGAGCGCCCTGCGCGCGTGCCGGACTCGGAGAACCCTGGGCGTTCTAGCATCGACCTCTCGCGGGGCATGAGCCTGCACTCCTACTCACTCCCCTTTTTCCTCTTCCTCCTCCTCCTCCTCCTCTTTCTTCTTCTTCTTCTTCTTCTTCTTCTTCTTCTTGGCCTTGTCTGTAGAAGTAAGGCCAGCGCCTTCTGAGAACCAGCCTCCTTCTAAGAGGCCTTCCCCCCTCCCCCTACTCGCCTCTGCGCGCCGCCATTCCTCGGCGTCAACGGGCTTCCCGAAGATATATCCTGGGCTGAAGTCCGCCAGACCCTGCTCTGG